GTGGCCGCTCCTGGCCACCACAGCCTTGACCTGCTGGGCTCTGACGATTCTTCCGCCTCAACCTTCCAAGTAGCTGGAACTACAGGTACGTGCTACCAGGCCCGGCTAATTTTTTGGATTTACTGTAGAGATGAGGTCTCGCCAAGTTGCCCAGGCGGATCTTGAACTCACGGGCTCAGGCAATCCACTCACCTTGGCCTCCCAAAGCCCGGGATTACAGGCTGAGCCACCAAGCCCAGCCCTGTCTCTAATTAACAAACAAATAAGTGAAAAGAATAAATGTTAACTGGTATTATTATCATCAGTCTCCCATCCCTGTCTCCTCTATGCCCGTATATATATCAGTAGTAATGACAACAAGAACAGACATTTGGAATATATCACATCTGGGCTCAACTTCCTACCAGTTTTGCTTTTTTTTTAAAATAAGAGACAGAGATCTCACTATGTTGCCCAGGTTGGCCCCATATTCCTGGCCTCAAACAAGCTTCCCACCTCAACCTCCCAAAGTGTTGGGACGACAGGCGTGAGCCACCGCGCCTGGCTCTTTCCAGTCCTAATACCTGAACCACTTTACAAATGAAGGAACGGAGGGATAAAAAGTGAAGTGAGCTGCCCGAGACCTCAAAGACAGATCTAGAAATCACGCCCAGTCTGTCTTGATTCCAAAACATGCACCTTTCACCCCTCTGCCATAAAAAGCCAGGAACTGCAGAGTTCCAAATGGAACTATACACCCAGGAAAGCCATTCTGTCTGTCCCAGAGGTTACATGCAAATGGCAAAATATAATTTGGCTCCCTATTTGCAAGTAGCAAACGTCATTCTATTATGTAACAGGACTGGGAAGAGGCTTTTGTTGCTTGGAAAGAGTGAGTAAAGATTTTTTTTTAATCTGGCCGGTTTTTTATTGTTAATATGGTGTTTGAGTTATTAAATAACCACATGCTTATTTTTTTCTCTTTTAGCCCATTAATGTGAACTAGACAGAAATATTTTTCTGGATATTGAACCATCTTTGCATTGTTAACACCCAACTAATCTTTTTTTTTTTTTTTTCCTGAGTTGGAGTCTCACTCTGTCACCCAAGCTAGAGTGCAAGGGCGTGATTCCAGCTCACTGCATCCCCAACCTCCCACCTCTGCCTCCCAAGACGAGGTCTTGCTATGTTGCCCAAGTTGGTCTCAAACTCTTGTTCAGGTTATTCTTCCGCTTCAGCCTCCCAAAGTGCTGGGATCACAGGTGTGAGCCACCACACCCAGACTTCATCTCTCTTTTTTCTTTTGTCTTTTTAATCGTTGGAATGGTGGTAAAATACAGATAACACAAAATTTACCACTGCAGCCATTTTTAAGTGCACAGTTCTGTGGCCTGAAGTTTGTTGTTACGTTGTTGCGTAACCACCATCACCAGGTGATATATTAGTTTTTAAAAATACAGTAATATTTGGCGAGGATGTTGCATCTACAGCCATCAGTGAGGTAAAAATGAGCCTATAATTGTACTTTCTCGAATTCTTGGCTACTGATTTGGGGATGAAGATTCCACTGAATCTCCTAAATAAGCCGACAGATTGCACTCTTTTCTGATTTGCTGCAATGACGTTTACCAAGAGGAGAAGTAACTTTCTTATAAGTATGAGAGAAAGTCAGGTGCAGTGGCTCACGCCTGAAGTCCCACCACCTTGGGAGGCCAAGGCGAGAAGATTGCCTGCAAGGACTTGTACCAAGTTAAGAAGTAACTGTTTCTTATAAGTGTGGGAGAAAGTCAGGTGCAGTTCACACCTGTAATCCCAGCACTTTGGGAAGCCAAGGCTAGAGGACTGCCTGAGCCCAGGGATTCGAGACCAGCCTGGGCAACTTGACGAGCCCTCATCTCTACAATAAATAAAAATTTGGCCAGGTATGGTGGTGCATACCAGTGGTTCCAGCTACCTGGAAGGTTGAGGTGGAAGGATCACCTGAGCCCAGCAGGTCAAGGGTGCGGTGGCCGTGAGCATGCCACTGCACTCCAGCCTGGGCAGCAGAGTGAGGCTCCGAT